CTCAGACCTTCAAGTTATGGGACAAACCTTGTTGACCACTGAACCACTTCAACCGGAATTGAATCAAATCTTGAATTTTACCTTTTGTCGATTTGTAATATACAGCTAACTTTAATGTGTGCTGGCTCGATTGAGCAGCCGATTCACAGTAAAACGGTTGACCTCACTGGTCACGACTTCTGAATAAGGCTTCAGGACATCCATCCATTCAGTAGCCATCTATTAGCCGGAGACTAATGAAGATTTGAATGTTGGATAACCAACGTCATCAATTAGAGGTCACTGAAAGCCTTTGGAGAGCAGTGGACAGCTGTTTCTACCGGTTAGAACTGTTGTGAGTGCCTACTGTTGAATAATCCAATACTAGAATGAAGCAGCTGTTCAGTGCTTCTCTAAGTGAGGTTAGTTCTGCATTGTAATAAATACAAATCCCTGTGAACGTTTCATAATCTAAATAACTTTGTATCAGGATTCAAATGGACTGGTATTTTTGTGGCAGTTTGTCTGTCAATGCGTATATATCTACAGAACACTCACTTATCTGTCATTCATTTTTATATTAATATCCTTCCATTAATCTCCCTTCTAAGTCACTTCACCTGTTCCCGTAACTCTTCTTACTGGCTTACTTTACTTGTAGATATGTCAACCTGTCTAAAAAATAACGCAACTGCACGCAAATTAATTCATTGACGTTCAGGACAGCGATAGAACTACATACCCGTAAATACTGTGTCTTTCAGCTTTTTATGAACTATTTGGAAAGATCTGACAAAAGAAAGAGAAGAGAGACATAATGAAGATTTGACTCAAAAAAGAACTTCATTGAGGAGTGTCATTCTCGGCTTTTGTTGTCAGCACAAATTTTCACCTTATCTCTGAATCTCTCTCTCTCTCTGTCTCCAACAGAGTAGGCTACACACGCATATATATACATAAATGGGACTTTCATGTATACACACACACACACACAGTGATTATCAGTTACACAATAAAAGTGTCAGTGTCATGAGTGTGGAAGTCTATATTTCTTTTAGAAATTACTGTCTCCATCTATCTACCTATCTATCCATCTATCTTTTGTATTCCTTAACAAAGAAGTTAATGAAACAGAAATCTCACTGTAACGCATTGGACAGCTCAGATGTACCGACAGATTATATATGAAAGGATTTATAGATTAGAGGTTGTTGTATCAGAATTAGAAAAGGAAAGGCAGAAGCTAATTAATCAGTTTTTGGGCCAGTAGTTGTGTATATCCCTCCTCTGTGTACTCGAAAAATTCTACACTGAATCTTTCCGCCCAATGCTGTCGGCTGCGTTCTTTTCACATTTAGCTGTTCATGTTGGCTTAACACACACACACACACCGGCTCACATGCATACACATAGTCTAATCGTTGGCTAATTTATGCCGCCACTTGTTAACAGTGTGCCTTCTTCATTCACTCATTGAAACACAGATGCACACAAAGGTAGAAAGAAGACGTATAACACCATCGGATGCAGACAGGCATTCACCCATGTTTTATTTCATGACTGTACTTGTGTCATTTTGGAGATTCTGCAAAGAGTTTTCTATTGTAAGATTAACTAAGCTGTTGGGAAACTTTGATTGTGGTTGAAAACACCGTGTGTGATAGAAATTATGTGCATACATGTAGCTGAAGGCAATAACCTAGTAGTGATAAACAGAAAGATTTCTAGAATAAAACGGGACATTGGACAAAATCATTCATGTGTGTGTGCATACATATGAGCTCAGCAGTCTCAATATAAGATCGAATCATCAGTTCTCGAATGAACATACCTTCTTTTACTTCCATAATGCTTTAGAAATATTCTTTCAAAAACTAGATTTTCTCCCATTCCTTGATTTCTGTGTAGAATATATGATATTCAAGGTGCTGGTTTTTTTCTCTTGCAGAGTAGTGCTACTCTCTACACTCACTCCTCAAATGTTCGTCTTTTCTGGATTAACTATCAAATAGAAAACTATTCAAGGTTAGGCGCAATGCATCGTCTAGACATCGAACTCGGACCACGTGTAGCGTGGATGGCATGCATTTTACCATTGAAGAACAGATACAATATGGAAACGACCGTACGCTTTTATTGTAATTATGCTGAATCTTGTGCCTGTTGAAAATTTAATTTATACATCAGTCGTCTTGTTGCACGACATTCCTCGAAATGGGATCCCTCTGATTTTGTTTTTGAAATAAAGAATAACGAGTTGAAGTTAACTTGATTAATTGTTCATTTTCCGCTAACCATTCACAGTCAGCTTTTGGTGAAGAGCCATCACGAATGATTGAGTTATTTCCACTCTTCTTTATTCTAGTTCTTCACGTTTGGCTGATTAGCAATCTTTTTATCTTTATTTACAATGTATCAACTGGCTTTTTAGTATTCCGTTGCAGTTACTTCTTCTCGGAACTACCTTTTTTGTCTCAAACACTTGTCTACTGATATTTGTTTATAGTAATATAAATAGTATAGATAGATATTTTTCAATTTTGCATATGTTCTCCCTGTTGTAGTGATACGAGTATATAACAGATTTTTAATGTTTTGGTTAGCTTTCAGTTTTAGTTAGAACTTTGTATTTGTCTAGACTGATAGGGAATTGTAAATATAACAGTGACATTTTAAGCAACCAAATATACAGGATGAAATGAACAGTCTCATTGGATTAACCCAGTGAAAATCGCAAATGAAAAGGTTCTTAGAGATGGAAAGTACGAAATGATCTGAAAGTTTTCCTTAGATCATTTATTATTATAAGTTCCATAAAGGTGGACAGCATCGGCCTTTAATCAGTAGGTAGAAGACGTAGCACACGTTTTACGAGAATGTATTCGTAAATGTAATAAACAGTGTATTGTCATGTGTCAGTCGGCAAAGAAGTTCAGTGTTTTGAAGAATAATCAGCAGATCTCAGAAATGGACTGGGCAACTATGGGGCTAGAGAAGTGCCGAGAATCAACAAACTTTGGATTCTGCTTTTGTTGTTGGATGGGATTCATCAAACCGAAGCAACTGCAACAACCCATAAACCATTGGAATCGATAACCTAATCCGTTCAAATCAAATCCGTTCATTACATTCCTGTGCCCTGAAGCTTTTTATTGGCATATTTATTTCTAAAGAAGCTTTAATTTATTCATCGTAATTAATGCCTTTAATTACTATTATCTTTCTTCATAATTCAGGTAAGATGATCGACATTGAACAAGATGTCGTGGATCTTGGTTTTCTACTTATCGGTACTCATCAGAAAGACGTATTACCAAACCTTGAAGAAACTCACCCTACACCGTCCCTATGGGACTTGAACTCCATTCACCACGTATCTCATTCAGTGGTGTTACTACTGAGCTATATACGACTGATCAATTCATATGAATATTTTGATGCCAGTCAGGCCAGTCATAGAGGTTAGAACTCAGTACTCGTTGTTTCAAGATTTTGAGCATTATTCATTTAACCACTAGACCACGTGAACTCCCACTTATTCAGTTATTGGGTTTCAGTGGAAACGCCATCATTCACCTGAAATGCAGTCACATCCACTGGATGACTCCTGAATAGGAAGAAATGCACATCCCCAATTCTACTACTGGCCACCGTCAACCCTATTAAATCCGGACAGCTCACTGACTTCACTGAAACAGTTCATTAGTGTAAAATATGTAGAAATTTCCGTGGGTGCACCAATGCATACACATGAATACATCTGAAAAGTATATCAGTAGGAATGTCATTTACTGATAAGCAACACAATTAAAGATTGAAACAATTAGGCCAAATTCAGGAATTGAATTGTATGCAAACATTATCTGTCACAGTGTATATTTTCCAGGAAAATGTTCATTTCTATACAATATCTCATGCGAAAAATGTTTTCTCCTGAAAACTCAAATAAATCAAACAAGTGATTACTACTCACAAGTCAATCCTTTAACAGCAGCATTTCAGTGTATAGGAACAGCTGTTAGTTCGTGAATCTGAACTAAAGCCTAAGTGTATACATGAGATCTATCTGTACTTCTTGTATACATTTGTAAACATGGACAAAAAATGTCTATATGCATGCATATACGTGTAATCGATTGCTTTGTCACCTAAAATAAACATAAATTACACCATTGAATATAGAATAACACATTTAAGCGAACAATATTGTGCTTTCAATTAGATCTCATCAGGTTGAACCGTAATATATATAAGTTTACAAATAAAAATTCAAATATAAACCAATCATGGTGTTTTGTCTATAGGATAATACGATGGTGAATATAAATTGTGCAATTAGTCATAATAGTAGTAATGATAATAATAATTATAGTAATAATAGAAATCGTCTTATCAATAATAAGGATGAAAAAGTGTGGCAATCTGTGATAACACAAATAATGGAAAACAGCATGATTAAACAAACAACCGTTCAGGTGGAAGTAGTCGATAAAGGCTAGTAAAAACAAATGAACCGATTAAGTAATGTTAGATTGTAAGGGAAGGAAATGAAACATGTTTATAATGAAGGTAAGATTATGAGATGATAAGAAAGGGGTGGTGTAGAAGTCATTAGTTGGTTATGTCTTAATAGGCCAAGGGAGGGATAATGGCTGTGTATGAACTTCTTTTGAATACATAGTTTAGGTTTAATAGTTCGAATGCCTATCGCCTCAGCTGTGTGCGGTAAACGAATACGAAGTCTACTGAAAAGATTTGGTGGAATACGATCAAGTACTTTGAAGGCTCTCGTTTTCTCGATTACATGACCACTATCAATTAAGTGTGACAAGTTGAATGTCAATGTTTGCATACTGAGCACTAAAAACATCACGGTTGAACGAAACTGTTCAGTGTTCACTGGTCAATTTCAAAAAACAAGATATGACTGTGATGAAAATGTGGAACAAATCTAATATGACTGGCGTCTCAAACTGTTTTGAAAAGAAACGAAGAAAGAATTCGAAAGAACCTTGAAAACATCATGATTTGAATAAACGCATTGTCAAGCTTTTAAAATAATTAATTGATGCGTATATGATGAAACCGATGAGTTCGAAAGATTCAAATAAACCAATCACAGATATACCGATCCATAATCCCATATTACCGCCAATATCAGATAATAGTCGAGACAGTGGGTAGTCATTTTCTTCGAGAACTAGTCTGCCACGGGGGCTAACACGTTCTATCGTTAATAAAGCAAAATTATTACGTAATTGACGAAGTATTTCTTGCTGTGCTGATTCATTTCGTAATACCTCTTTCATGAATTCATCACTTGAAATATGACCAACACCGTGAATATTTTTGTCGTCACTCATAATTTGATTTGCCAGGAGATGGAAAATGTTGATCAGAAAGTCAGTTCTGGCTTCATTACGCTGCGCACAACCCCATAAATCTGCCATTGGGTTATTGACCATACCGAAATGATTATACTTCACTTCATCACAATTTGTTGATTGTGCATAGAATTCACAATGTTGAGCTTTCGCTAAGCTCAAATATAAACTGGCATTACTATACTTTTTGAATACACGGTGCATACAATTCAAATTTTCCACCAATTGATAGTCACTGAATATTGACATGTTCAAACACAAGACTGGCTGTGATATTGGTCCATTGGTGTTCGTATTATTGTTATTATTATGATCATTACTATCAGTTATATTAAGTAATTCAGGGAAATAACCATACGGGAGAAAGGGACTATAACAATGACATTCTTGTAGATATAAATATTGTGACAATAATCGATGGCATAAATCTCCACCAGTATCATAAATTCGACGTTTTGTCACTAGATCAGCGTCGTATATCATTGCTGAATACTTTTCTTTATGACACCGTCGCTTTTCTTGGTTACGTTGATGACGTACCATTTCTATTTGTACATGATGATTATATCCAGGGGTTAATTCAATAACTCCTCTTACAGGAAAATGACTTGGTGATGTGATGTAGACATCAATTATGTGTGGATAGTACGAAGAATTAATAATCAAATAACTATGGAGATTAGATTTTAAATAGAATCCAACTTTTTCTATTCTCTTCATTATTGATTTGTTTAAATAACGCGCAATCTAGGTGAAAATTATAATAATAGTGATAAGCAGCATCACAGAAGCATGAGTGTGAATTTTAGCATAGATTTAACCGTCACTTAACTAATCACTGAAGAACTAGGCAACACGGTGACACTTCAGTACAGTGCACTCATAATATCCCCAGGTATCAGACTCAGGATCTCCAGGTCACAAGTTCGACAATGTTGATCAGCCAGCTAGTTGTCTGAAGATTCATTCACCTGGGGATTCTAACTTTTGTCGAACCCATGATGTAACTCTACCACCAACGAATGACTTCGATCAGCGTCCACTTCCTGCGATAACGTGAAACCCGCTGACCATGACCTGTCACTTTCAGCATTTCAGAAGTTCCTCCTAGTGTGATGATCCCTACGGATACAAGTTGGTTGTTTACTTGATAATTCGTGATCAGAATTAAAGTTCAGACCAAGTGTATCGTTCTATTTTAGAACTCATCATCTGCCTATGCCTGCAGCCAGCAGGAGTGAAAATATCCAAACGTTGTAAGTTGTACTTGGTGAATGCTTTTCAGGTAGATATGGAAAAGGAAATTTCGTGTATATCCATTTTTTGGAATTTTTCATCAAAAGACATATACCCCCAAGCCAACCTATCAAACCAAAAGCCCCCAAGGAAAGCACAAAGAAAGTCGCCCTGCCATATATAAAGGACATCTCAGAAATCCCTACAAGACTCTTCATGCCTTTAGGAATTGACGTCGTACACAAACCAACAAAATCACTTCACTCAGTTCTATGTCAACCAAAAGACTCAACAGCGAAGGAAGATAAAACCAACATTATCTACAAGATAAATTGTAACAACTGCGAAAAACACTGCATTGGCCAAAGTGGACGTCCCCTTAGTTTTCGTATTCACGAACATAAGCTGGCCGTCAAAAGACATGGCATCCACTCCCTCATATCACTACATACAGACAACCACAGGCATCAATTCGATTGGGACAATGTTCAAATATTAGACAGAGGAAACAGCAAAGATGCTAGAGAATTTTTAGAAGCTTGGCATTCCAGTGAATCATCAATCAATAGACACATCGAGATAGACAAAATTTATCAACCGATAAGAAAGAAACGTCACAAACAAAGGGTCAAAGTTCAAGTCAAAAAACAATCAGTTCCAATGCACTTTGTAGCCTAGAAGGTGTGAAAACACACAAAAACAACCAATCACGTCCAAGGTCACCAGGAGAGATGATTAATAAACTCGTGGAGAAATCTAAAACTTCACTTCAATTCAATTTGAAGTATGTGCTGAAGATGTCGCCCAGTAGGGCGATGAAAGCTTCGCAAATTCACCATTCAGCTCAGAGAACACAACCACATCAAAATCATCCACCTGAGCTACAAATCTTCTCCATCATATCGAAAAGATATTTAAAACACAATTTACCGCTACTCAAGTTTATATCAGAAAGAGACGATATGATATTTTTTTAAGTCATCAAATCTTGGAAATTCAATGGTTTAATGAATTTTCCTTCATTTATTTGAAATCTCAGTGGAAATGGTTTCTCTTTTATTCTGTGAGACTGACAAACTCATGCTCAATCCTCCTCTTATCCAGGCTTCTGACTGGTTCTTAGATTAGGCAACATTTTGGAGTGCAACTGCTTGGAATCCAGACAATTTGCTGTGAATTGTTGATATTACGACAAGCACCAGTCACTACGTATGGTCGAAATCTAAATCACATCGTCTTTTTCATTTGTGCCGTTGGATAGCATAGTATTAATTACAGGCGGGTGTCATGAATGACAGTGTCAAATCCAGGAAGGATGGGATCAGGTAAGGAAGACAGCTAATTATTACTCTGAAATTAGGATTAGTGCGAGAGAACGCCTGGTATTAATATTGTGCGAGTCAGTGCTTCCATGTGGTTCAGAGAGTTGACCCAAGTGTCAGGAAAACTATCTCCTAGGGGCTATTGTAGAGTTTCATCAAAATCTGTCTCCAATAATGGACGTCACGAGACCGGTCAGGAAAGACAAGGATACAGAAAAGAAAACTCTGGTTGGCAGTGAACCAACAAACATCCAGAATAAAGTGAGCGTGGATGAGGTGAAAATACGCTGGCGGGACATACAAATGGCAGTTCCTCCCGGCATCTCTAGTGAAATCGACGAGTCATGCACAGGAGAAAATTAATCCATCATATCGATACTTGCACCGTTTGACCTAATGTTCAACTTGTAGCTCGAGGAATATATATTACATATATTACTGAAAATATTCATCAGATTTTCTATAGCACAAAAAATAATCACAATTTTGTTGTTGGTATTATTATTGCTGCCAACTTACCTGAAAATTGTGACATGGTATATTATAATATTTTTGTAATATTTGTGTATAAAAATAATTTCCCCATGGTTTTGGCATACTAGTTAATTTCACATCCATGTCTACTGTCAGTCGTATCCCTTGATGTCCATCTTGTCGAGCGATAAAAAGAAACATATCGTTCACATTGCCAACATTGAATCTCCAATGAGGTATACTTGAACGTACTAGTGACTGCATGATAACTTCATTAGTAGTAATTCCAGCAACACTGAAAAATAACTCTTTTGGTATATGATTCATTGTTGAAAGATTTCTCGCCCGATTGACATAGCGGTTCCACAGTACTCGTCTTTCCTGTGTATTTAAATTATACGGTGCCATGGCATTACAGAAAGTGATATCTGGCCACACAAATTCTTCATAATCCTCATGGTAACTGGTCAAAACTGGTCGTGATAAATAATGTGCTACAACATGCGAAAGGTTAGTCAGGAAACCGGCTACACCAGCTAACCATAAAGTGAACCATATTAATCGTGCACGATTGTTTGATGATGTTGAGATATGCGTCAATCCTTGTATTGTACTCTGCTCAAGTAGACGGGAAATGTCCTTTCGAAAGTGATGGGGATTAGTAAATTTATCATTTGTAGTATCATTAGTGCTGCTACTATGAGTCTGGGAGGGATCAGTGCAAATGTTTATTTCATTCCCCTGCACTGTTTCTGATCTCTCTTCATGGTTACTCGATGGCATCGGTAAGTGCTTTTCTGGTGAGACGGTTTGCCTGTCTACTTCTTAGTACTTAGACTAACAATCTGAAATTGAAGGAAACAGCGTAAAAGTTGTCCTCGCTGAAATTTGTGATGGTGATTTATCTCAGTATGATGGTGTGTATGTGTGAGGATATGTTATGTGGAATGAAGTTGTTTTACATATATACATATCTATATGTTATATTCTGAGTAGGGGTGTGGAGGATTGCATGGTTACGTAGGAGAAAAGAAGACAACAACCAATTATTGGTCCATTGTAGACAGACTCGACGGATCACTGCCTTTTTGGATAATCGCCACTATTTACTTATAATATGACTGGATAATTTATGAACAAGGAGAATGAGACTATCAGAAAAGAGTTGACAAATTCAAATAAATCCCAGTGGAATGTGATGGCGTATACACATGTAAATGGGTATGTGAATATATATACATATGTATATATATGCTTGAATAAAGCAAAATCAACGGCGTACGTGAACTGTGATGGTTGCATCCATTATTTCATTGGCTTTCAATCAACTCTCCATCGCCTGTGTTACATCTAAAAAATAAACGATTAAGCTTATTTAAAAAGCGATTGTAATTCACTTGGAACGGTGACTGAATATCATCAATTAACACAAAACTCCAAAATTAAGGGTATCAAGGAATTCCACTCAATATGTACTCATACACAGAAGGTTGAAGTTTAAACAAAACAGAACCAAGATTCAGAACAAAATATTTAGAGCGAACAATTGTTGCCTTCAATAAATTCTTCTTCAGGCTCTACAATTATAAATCCATTAATTTAAGCATACATTAGCCAGCCAGCCAGTAAAGGCAAATTAGAATCATATCAGAAAGTGTATTGTGGAACAAGTATAAGATGGGATGGAACAATAGTCAGATAGTTTTTTAATATGCATGGTCAATGAGAACATGTCCCATGTATTTAGATAATTTGTCACTTACACTGAATTATTCGTTTGGAGATTACATTAGTAGTTCACTTGTTTGATGAGAAGACAAATCGCCTAGTACACCAGATTCAAGAAATGTGAAAATTAGTCAAAATATTTGGAAAATAGTGGATTCAAAATGAAGAATTACGATTTGTTGTTTCAATATACGTTTCATCATTGACACTTAAAATTAAGGAGGCAGTGGGTGACTGTTCCCTTCTCTTCTGAGAATTTTCGACAGTACGTACACCTAACACCCATTAGATATCAAGAGTTTATGAAGTTAGATTACTGGAGTCCTAATCAGAATCTGCTAGTGGAGTGTGTGAAAAGCGGTAATTGGTCAGAGATATTAGAAAGCTGTAAATTCATACTACGAGTAGACAGTTGTGCGAATTCTCGCGGTATCGAATTCTAAGCCAGTGGGGAAATATAACCTGATCATGGCACTCATCAATCAGCTTACTGCTTTTACTCAGTGTTTTCGTAGTTCTAACTGACATATCTTATCAGTATTCCACTGAGACACTAACAGCATAAAGAAAGTGTTCTAGACGTAGAGGTGAACATTTAAAGCAGTGTCTTAAATATCTCATCTAATCTCCAAAGTTGATTAGTCTCTGTGAAATCAGTGAATACGTAGATAGTAGAAGAAATGTCCATTGATTGTTCATTTCACGTCTGTGAATCAGTCCTCTATGAATGAGGATAGAACTGAGGTCCCATTCTATGGATAACTCAATATCTAATATTGTTTAGACAGAGGGAACACTTTGAAAGTAATTGGAAGTTAATAATCTTAGCAATTTATGGCTAATTCTAATATGTCGCCTATACCGACTGAATGATTAGTTATTGAGCAGTTTTACTTAATGGTCTTCTTGCATTGTTCAAGTTTGTGCATGTCGTCTGTTTATTTTGCATAATTTTACGTGTAAAGAGGGAAGCACACCTGTCTTTTGGTTTGACGGCTGACAAAATCGTCCCCTTTTTGTGTCAGCTCCAATAAATTGCTGTGTGTGTGTGTATCAGTATGCAATTATCGCTTGTATTGCTCCTTCCCTTGTGAAATACGACAGTTTGAAATCATACGCGTCGGTGAATACACACTTACATCAGTCTCCTTCCTTATTATTATATATGTTTAACTACTGTGTCGTGTTCGTCATTGTCCAATTCACTTTTTATAATATGGAAGACTTCTTACAACAATTTTGTGCATCATAATTTAAAGCCCTTTGAAAATACTCACTTGTCCTTTAAGTAATAATGAAAGGCGCCCGCTAATGTCAAGTGCACGTGAAAGGGGAATAACGTGTGCACTGTGTACATCGGAATTTATTGCTAAATTCATAATATATGAAAGCAAAACATGTGTCTTTTTCGATTTTGTTCTCCTGTCCCATTCTAAATTCTTAGAATTTTCCCCTCCATTTCAACGAGCAACCGGTAAGAGTTTTATAAGTAAGTTCACCATATCGACAGTAATTTCCTTTTTTTATCATGACAGGCTGTATACCTCCTATTCGTGTTTCTGTCTATCTATCTGCCTATTTATCCGTCTGTGTCTGCTTGCGCACTTTTCAGTGCATCATCATCATCATCATCAAGTACGTTCAATATTTACAAAGTGCAATCACTTGCACAGTCTGCTATGTACCATTGTATATATATTCATATGTAATTTCTGGTTGTCTCACCCAGACACAGCCTCATCAGTATCTCCTATTTCCTGCAATTTGTCATTCTCTTTTTCCACTTCAGTGTGAATTATTTTCGCTTTGCATGTGAAGCGGACACATTTGGACACATTTGGCTGGAATGTAAGTTTTTCAATAATAATTTAATAATTCCTCTTGTAAGACATTAGGGAAGACAACAGCGCCATAGCGAAGATACTCTCGTCAACGGACTTATTAGCAAGTTGTACAATTAATTGTTTATCTATATATACGATACTTAAAAAACCATATGCTTTGAAGAAATTTGAACAAAAGCTGTGAATGAAATATCCCCGTATTGAAATCAAAACAAGATTTTGAGCAAACAATTGTTTTCGATAACGTCTTCTTCTTCTTCAAGCTTTACAGTTATAAATCCATGAATAATAGCCAATAAAGGCAAATGAAAATAATATCAGAAACTGTATTGGGGTGCATGTGTAAGTTGAAATGATAGTCCATTGTCAGCAGACAAAGAAACAAGAAGATGCTTGCAATTGCAGAGGCTTGTGCAATTCGAGTTTACAAACCAGGTCTCTGTGTACAAAAGGAGACGGTCGTGACTCTGAATCTACCATGGTAATACGTTTTACTTATAATCCTACCTCTTATTATTATTTTATTATTACTATTATTATTCTCATTATTATTATTCTTGATTCATTTAAAACTATCAATAGCATTATCTTAACCCACTTCAACACTATTATTATTATTGTTATATTATTTTATTGTTATTATAACTACTACTATTGACATCCTTGTGGTTGCAATTATTGTTAAATTCTCTAATGTCTAATTGTATATCTAAGTGATGTAATTGAAGCGTAATGCAATTTATCTTAATTTTGATCTCCCATAATCTCTCTCCCCTTATCTAATTGCACATGACCTGGAAAACATTCGCACCTGTCTTTCTGCATGACTAATTCAATGTAGTTTATTTACTTATCAGTCCTATATCTCCCAATGTAATTTCAAAACTATATATATCCCTGTATTTAAAGTATTCAGTCCTATATCTCTCAATGTAATTTCAAAACTATATATATCCGTGTATTTAAAGTATTCAGTCCTATATCTCCCAATGTAACTTCAAAAGTATATATCCGTGTATGTAGAGCATTCAGCTGACGAGTTCTACCGAAATTTGATGAATTCATTAAATCCTGCTTTATTAACATTTATTGCTTGTTTTAAAAGATAGTCCATTAGTTAACATAATAAATCTAATGTGTATAGGGTGTGTATAGTCAAAAAATGTGATGAAGTGTGAATGAACAATTGGGTGATATGGTGTTGTTTTATAGTCAACAGAATACAAGTGTCATTGGGATGAGAGAAGTTCCATAACTACAAAATACATATAAACACATTAACAGAGGGGTCTCTGAATGTGAGGGCTGACCGATAATGTCTAATGATAAAATGAAGACGCTAAATTGTAAATTATAATAAGATGTTACAGAATTGGTAGGCTTAGTATAAAATCACAAAGGTTTACAAAATTAAGGGTAACAATGAGGTGAAATAAACTGGGTGGAGAAATGGATAATAAGGACATGATATCACAAAATGGTAATAATGGTAATAAAAATACGAAAAATTGTGATACTGATGACCTTATAGTGGGCCAGGGTAGACAGAGGGAGTGAATAAGTTTTTCCTGGTCTTTCCCTATTAATCTCTCAAGCCTCAGCTATGGATAGGAGGCGTAATCGTGTGTCTTTAGGGAGATTGCTCGGTACTCTATACACAACTGTAAATGACTTTGATGCTGTGTTCGCTATCCACTAGATGAGCCAGAATTGCACTATTTAATGATTTGGTCGCTCTTTTCCCCAGCCAAACAGGCATATGTTCACGAGTGCGTTAAGATAAATTCCTTTGGGTACGACCTATATAACTAGCTCCACAGGAGCAGTTGAATTTATATGCACACATTGATGTCGTCATTTTGGGTAATCTATCTTTAATACAGCGTCAATATCGGTTTGGTTGAGAAAGTGACATGCAGTTTCGCGGTACTAAAAGTTCTTTCAACTGATCTTGTTAATCTACGGTTTAATATATCGCTGGATATATCGCCTTTGAATTGTAAATTTAAGTAAAGCTTTTTCTTACTAACTGTTTCTCGCTTAGTTTTGTGTGTAGTTTCATAGATAAACTTCTTTACAAAGTTGGTAGGATAGTAGTTTTGTAGCCAGGTGTTTGTAAGATTTCTTATTTCATCCTCAATGCAGTCGTCGGTACATATGCGTCTAATTCTATGACTAAGACAACGAATTAGGTTGCGCTCATATTGTATA